AAAAAAAAAAAGAGTCCTTTCTGTCAGGATGCGTTGGCTCATGCCTCTATTCCAGTGGTTCTCAACCTTCCTAATGCCTCCTAATGCTGGGACCCTTTAATACAGTTCCCCATGTTGTGGTGACCCCCAACCATAAAATGATTTTCATCACTACTTCATAACTGTAATTTTGCTACTGTTATGAATTGTAATGTAAATATCTGATATGCAGGATGTATTTTCATTGTGACAAAGGGGTCACGATCCACAGGTTGAGAACCGCTGTTCTATTCCTACCACTAGGGGAGACAGAAGCAGAAGGATCACTTGAGGCCAGGAGTTCAAGACCAGTCTCAGCAAGAACTGAGACTATAGGCATGCACTCCCATGCCTGCTAAGTTTTATAGAAATGGGGTCTCTCTATGTTGCCCAGGCTGCTTTCAAACTCCTGGATTCGAGTTATCCTCCTGCATCAGCCTCCCCAGTAGCTGGGATTACAGGTGTGAGCTGCCACACCAGGCCTCCTTTTTCTTTTATTTGCTTCAAAATTTCCCACTAGTTGGTCATTTTGTTGAACTCAACTAACCCCATCGGAAAATGATCAGCAAAAAAAAAGTAAGAAAAAGGAGAAGAAATTTAGCTAGTAGGTTAGCTAAAATTTAGCAGGGAACAAAGAGAAGAAAACAAACTATTGCCAAGAATGAGGCTTCTTTAATTTTTAATGATTCACATCAGATCCAGCACTAATTAGCAGAGACAAATGAGTCATCTGCTTAGTACTTAAACACACACAAAGACATACAGTCCTTAGCACAGAAACATACACTCCTTGACATAAAAACAGACACTCCTCAGCACAGAAACATACACTCCTTAACATAAAAACAGACACTCCTTAACACAAAAACACAATAGATGTGTTTTAAAATTATGTCTTCCATTGATATTTTTCACTAAAATAAAATGAAAGTAGCTAAACAAATTTCTTCTTTCAATTTTGTTACTGCCATCTTGAATTCCAGGAAAGCACAGGGAAGCCTCTAATTCTAAAAAGCAATCTATTCTCAGAATTGAATTTATACAACATTTTAGATAAGTATGTGGTTGTAAAGATTAGTCTTAATTTTGGGAGGATCTTAGTTTCTTTAACTCATAATTCAGTGTATTGAAGAAAAGCTATACTGATGTTTCATAATACACCATTGGATCTTATAAGATTTTAAAGATTTTGCTTTGACAGCCAGAAGTATTTATACCTTCACATTATTTTTTCCAACGAATCCAATGTGCCAAATATAAACCCTTCCCTCCTCTCTAATACGCCCCAAGTTACATGAATAAATAATCAGCATTAAGATCTTGGGTAATTTCCCAAGAGGGCTATTGCTGAAGCAGAAACCAACTTCATCTTCTTTGATGTGTATTGAAAGTCATAAATGAAAATCCCAGGTCACTCTTTGACAAATGCTATTTCTCCTACTGGCTTTCAATACACGTTAAACAATTTAAACTTGAGCCAAATGTGAGCGCCCACGGAGAGCACCTCTGATGCTTTCTCAAATTACAAAAGAAAAATGCCTTTTAAACATAACTTCTCACATGAATTTTCTGATGAAAAATTTACCTCCGCCAAAGAACTCAGCCTTACCAACCAGTTCCGGTGCCTGTGAGTGATTCATTTTTGTACTCCTGGTGTCCAGAGCAGTGCCCAGCACATGGCAGGTGCTTGGTGAATTGTTAGCTGACTTAAGAGAGGAACTGAAGTTTGTTCAAGGACTAACCTTCAAAAGCATCTCTTCATGTTGGGGATTATCAGAGTCATAGGGCTCTCTGCGCAGTTTTTCCACATCTGCAATAAGGTTTCTGTACCCAACAATTTGCAGAAGGCAAGCCTGGAGAGAGATTCCCAGCCTACAGTGTGCAAAATTAGAAGAAATACCCGTGAGAAAACGAAATGTGTACTTTTAACATTTGTTCACTCAATGTATGCATGATATAACTTCTCATATTAATATAACATTCAGGAAATTGTTCGAATATAATCTATTTAATGAAAGCACAGTTCTGAAGCCCCACGTGGACAGGTGTAGAACCTGGCTAAAATTTATCTCACATTCTGGCTTTTTCTTAAGCTAAACTGCAAGAGTGTAACTTAAAAAATAAGTTTCCTCTTTATGCAGGTGACTTGAAAGGAAGATGCAGAAAATACTGGTGATAAAAGGTTCTTTGGGATCGTTTAGCTTCCCTAGGTGGATAGATCAGATTCACTGCAGAAAGGTGTGCATGGCAGGGTGAGAGAAACAGTCCTCAGGGACTTTGGGAGAAGAATATTTCCAAAATAAAACAAAATGGCTGGGCGCAGTGACTCACGACTGTAGTCCTGGCACTCTGGGAGGCCAAGATGGGTGGACTGCCTGAGCTCATAGGTTTGAGACCAGCCTGAGCAAGAGCAAAATCCCATCTCTAAAAATAGCTGGGCATCATGGTGGGCACCTGTAGTCCCCGCTACTTGGGAGGCTGAGGCAAGAGAATGGCTTAAGCCCAAGAGTTTGAGGTTGCTGTGAGCTGTGACGCCAGGGCACTTTACCCAGTCTGACAAAGTGAGACTCTGTCTCAAACAAACAAGCAAACAAACAAACAAAAAGAAAAAAGAAAGAAAGAAATGAAACAAAATAACAAAAGTCCCTCTACCTGGGAGTACCCTGGGCAGATAAGGCAGCACCAAGAGAAACCTCACAACTTTACAAGACGTCCCATTACATCCCAACCACTCCCCTAGCTGTCTAAACACTTTATCTTATCTGAAAAACCATCTGGTTTTCTTACTACCAAGCGGTTCAAATTCTGTCCTCTAAGCAAGTTTATTTCTGTCTTCCCCATTATGCCCATTTATTTTAAGAAAGTGATTCTTCCTTCTACTCTCATCTGGAAAGTTAAAAATGTTCCCAATTTCTTCAATTCCCTCTCACAGAACATGCTCGACGGCCATGCTCAGTCTGCTGTGAACGTGCACTATCTGATTAACAGTTCCCTTAAAATCTGTCACTGGAACCAAAAACAATGTAGCAGGGGTGGTGCCTGTGGCTCAAAGGAGTAGGGCACTGGCCCCATATACCGGAGGTGGTGGGTTCAAATCCAGCCCCAGCCAAAAATAAAGAAAGAAAGAAACTAAGAAAGAAAAGAACAATGTAGCAATCACAACACACAGAGGATCTTCACTTCCTGCCATCAGAAACTGTTTTCCTTTCCTACAACCTATAAGGAAGGACAGGGACAGAACCTTCTTAAGAAGTTGCATCAGATTACAAGTTTATTAAACTGGTGACGAATCATAACATCCTCCTTTCATACAAGCTACTGTCATACGGAGTAAATCTCAAGGTGCCATGTCATGTTTATTTATTCTGGCTCCATTCTTAACAGGCGTGTGTGTTCTGTGGCTCAAAAATGCTTGAACATTGGCAAATTTCATATGATACAGTCCAATACATTCCTGTTCCTGGTTCACGTCCCAACTCTGAACATTTCTGTGGTAGTGGTGGTGGTTATGATCACAACAGCGACACTATTTTCTTCATTTGGGGCTGGGGGTGGTAAATGAGACGCATAGGAGTTAAATCTAGAGTTGAAGGCAGCATGTGTAGGGTTGTGCACTAGTATCAGAAAACCTAAGAATACTACTTTTTAATAAAATTGGGTGTTCAATTAAATAGTGTTTATATTACCTGTTACCATATCACGAAACAACTAAACCAGATATTTCAAATTTTGAAAAGAGCAAAGGGGCGCTGGTCACCCAGAAAAGCAATGCATGGCTGAGAAGAGAATTCATTTTCAGGTAAAGAAGAGAATGGAATAAATAGAAGAGGCAAGAACAAAGAAAGTCAGTTCACTTTCTTTTCATAGGAGTGTTTAGTACCACCAAAAGTGGCACTTGAAAAGAATGTAATTAAAGCAAAGTGAGGTGAATGGTGCAGTAGTTTGGTATGTTATGTTTCCCCATCCCTAACCGTCTATTTCTCTGTTTTCTCAGAAAAATATTTACCTTTTTAAATATTAGATATTGTCAAAGTCAACCTGGAAAAAGGGCCCTAGAATCTACACTAAGATGTAAAGAAGAAAAAAATGGACAGGCTGAGTGTCGCTCATCTAAACTTCTTGGGACCAGAAGTGTTCTGAACTTTGGAATATTTGCAGACATGCAATGAGATATCTTGGGGGTGGGACCCAGGTCAACACAGGAAGTTCATTAAGTTTCATCTACACCCGTACACAGAGCCTGATGGTGATTTTATACAATAGTTTTAATGATAGATGCAATCTATCACACGAGGTCAGACTTGGGAGTATTTTGAATTTCAGATTTGGGGTTTTCAGATTAGGGATGCCCCACCTGTACCTATAAAGGTTTTTCTTTTTTTCACATAAATTTGACAGCATATATGACAAAGAAATGCTTTTGAATGCAACTTATGTGAATTTCACAGAATAGACATAAAAATGATTTGCCATCGAATGTAATCCAATCTCTAAATGTGATTATAGAACTAAAATATCCATCATGCCCAGTTATAGTCTAAAATTTTTGGTGCAACCTAAATTATAATGAATTGCCTTCTTACCACTTTCCCAGAAGAATAAAATATATGTCAGAAGGTTTAAAAAAGATACTCTTTAAGGGAGTCAACTGTCAATGGCTGAATAAGGGTGAGGCTGCTAATTAGCTGAAGCAGCTGCAGAAGAATGGTACTAAGATTGGATGAAAATGGAGTTTTTGTTATGATTCCCGGGGCTGCTAGTACTTAAAATCCCTATCAAGTGATAAACCCATGCAAAGTGCGCTCTGAACTTCTCTTCAACTGCAGCCCCCCTCTTTGGTAATTAAAACCCTTTCTCGGGGGTAACATCTGAAGTTCTCAGGTACAAACATCTGAACGACTGTCTTGATTGTTACCAACCTGAAACTGTCTCTAAATATGTCTTCCTTTGGAATTTATTCTTCCTAATAGCCTAAGCCCCAAATTTTACTGAAAGATTTCTGTACCCAAAGGAAAATATAAAGCTAATTTTAAAAGTCATGCACATTGCCAAATGCATTTTAATACTTCCAAGATGAGAGGAATAAATTATAAAGTTCTAAAGCCTTCATGTTAAAACCATCTCTCCCTCCCACACGTCTGTCTTCTTGACAAGCAGGTAGGAACTGTCTCTAAGATTACCAGCCTGTCACGAAGAAATATTCATGAAGGAAGCGAAAGACTATTCTAGATGGAGCAGAATCAGCTGAGGCACATTTACAGTGTGAACATCTACTGTTAACATAACACATAGGCATAGAGCAGGGTGACTGCTGATGAGGGGGTTCCCTATCTCATCTTCCACTAACAGGGGCACCCTCAGAGTAATAACACGCACTGCATCGCAGAAGCACAAGCCAGACGCACAAGCGCAACCTACGAAAGAAGCATAAAGTTGCTTCTGTTTAAAACACAAAAAAGCCACCTTTTCTCTATTCTTCATCTGAGAGTCAAAACGTTGTGGATGATTATTTCAGGGAAGGAGGGAGGGAAAGAGAGGGAGGAAGAGAGAGAAAAACGCGCCATCTGTGGCCATGGGACTTGCGTCTTATATTTCTGACATAAGAAACATATTCTTACTGTGGATTTACGTCGGGATTAATTTTCTTCAGTTCCATGATGTCGTCTATAGTTTTCTCAATGGCATCAAGGTGAACGCTCACGGAAGTCTGCAGCAGCTGGAAGACAGGCTTCAGTCAGTTTCCTTTTCATTGACACCAGGGGCTCGATCTGCGATAGAGGCTTTAAGTCTTTGTTTAAGCTTCGATATGAAGATAGAAGCTAAAAGCAAAAACTGATTTACTGTACTTGAATTCCTACAAATTTGATGTTTTTACAATTGCAGTTGTGTGAGTTCCTCATTGGGTTAGTGCAATTTTCCTGATTACCTTGATTAGGAAAATACATAAAATTTTGGAGTTTTTGTTTTGTTTTTACTATTTTCATCTGTTTCAAGCTACGTACATGGAAATGTCATATTTTCTTTTCCTCATCCAACATAGTTTCCTTGTTAATGGGCATTATACTTTCGATTAAAGAGGATATTGTTTTAAGGATACCAGACTTAAACAATAAGATAAAATTGGTAAGAATCTCAACAAGGAATAGTGGCTCATACTTGTAATTCCAGCACTTTGGGAAGCTGGAGTGGGAGGAATGCTGGAAGTCAAGAGTTCAAGACCAGCCTGGGCAACATAGTGAGACTCTCGTGGCCCCACCAGAGAAAATCTCTACCCCCAAATGAAAATATTAGCCCAACATGGTGGTGTATACCTGTAGTTTTAGCTACTTGGGAGGCTGAGACAGGAGGATTGCTTCAGCCCAAGTGTTTGAAACTGCAGTGAGCTATGATTTTTCTATTGCACTCCAGCCTGCCTGGGTAATAGAGTGAGATTCTGTTCCTAAAAAATATACATGGCTTGGTGCTGGCAGCACAGTGGTTACAGTGCCAGCCACATGCACTGAGGGTGGCAGGTTTGAACCCAGCTGGGACCAGCTAAACAGCAATGACAAGTCAACAAAACATAGCCGGGCATTGTGGTGGGTGCCTGTAGTCCCAGCTACTTGGGAGGCAGAGGTCTTAAGCCCAAGAGTTGGAGGTTGCTGTGAGCTGAGATGCCACGGCACTCTACCGAGGGTGACATAGTGAGACTCTGTATCAAAACAAACAAACAAACAAAAAATATATATATGTAGAAAAATAAAACAGGTTTTCTTTGTGCTATGAAAGCTAGTATGGTGGTATCTTTGCTTTTACTAGAAATTCTTGAGTATAACATTACATAATTTGGATATGGAAGAAACACCACAGAGTCAATACTATTCCTATTTCCAAGGAATATTTATGATTTTGGAAGGTACATTAAAAAGAATTAACTTGGCTCAGCGCCTATAGCTCAACCGGCTAAGGCGCCAGCCACGTACACCTAAGGTGGCGGGTTCGAATCCCCAGCCCGGACCCGGCAAACAACAATGACGGCTGCAACCAAAAAATAGCCGGGCGTTGTGGCGGGCGCCTGTGGTCCCAGCTACTTGGGAGGCAGAGGCAGGAGACTCGCTTGAGCCCAGGAGTTGGAGGTTGCTGTGAGCTGTAATGCCACGGCACTCTACCCAGGGGGACAGCTTGAGGCTCTGTCTCAAAAAAAAAAAAAGAATTAACTTGATGAGGAAACAGTAAGTACTTCACAAATCTGCCTAGAAATTCTCCTACAGTGGCTGTTCTCGTGTAAAAAGTATAATAATTTATCATGGGCAGATGATTCTTTCAGATGAAAGTTTACATTAGTTTTCATAGCAAATGGTAGATTTTGTTTCTTAATATGTTTACTTTTTATGATACACGTAAGTGTCCAAGTGAAAAATTGCTAAAAAATAAAGAAACAATTTTGCTTACCTTACTTTTGGAATCCCTTAATGATGTTTCTGTTAAAGCAGTAACAAAAATAGTTATTCCAAAATTATTCTTTACAAATGGTTTAAAATCACCATTCTGAAATATGACATTGCATCCTTAATCCCACCGGCTCTGTTTTACTTAACTCCTTTGTTTCACGCTTACCGATTTTCATGGTTCTAGAAGCTCCAGGCTTGGTATTGTAACAGATCCGCTGCAGTTCACACCTTCCAGTCAGCTTCCTCATTACAAATTTCAGGCAGCGCCACAAAAACTTACAGTAAAAATACAGGCATACCTGGATCAACATTCTGTGAAAAACAAAAGACAGCACCTTCCAATAGAACTGTGGAAGGCAGGAGAGAGCAGCCACCACCAGCAGGAAAAGAAGCCCAAGAGAAAATCCACCATTAGACTCTGGATTTGCAAGTGTGCGTTTCTAATCCAGTGTTAGTTATCTGCGGGAAACTTACTATGACTTTGTGCAACTCCATATGCCCTGGTCTAGTCAATTTTATATTCCATCAAACTGAGAGTGAAGCATTCATTGAAATCCTTTATTTTCCCACCGTTGCCTAAAAGCATTCTGGGAATACATCAGTACCTAGATACACAGAGTCCTTTAACATGGCTTGTGTTTTAGGAGTTGTCTCTCCCTTGGACATGGAGGAGGAGCGTGTCTCTTGTTGCCTCCATAAACAGCCTGTCAGCCTGCCCTGGGTCATCTCCAGCCCTTGGGCACCACTGTCCCCCTGGAGGGGCTGTGTGGCCACCTGCGTCCTCTGCTGAGCAATCATAACACTCCCTGGACTTGCTGGCCATTGATTCTCCTTAGAGGCAACAACCTTCTCTAATCTAAACTTTTCAGAACTACCTCCTGAGAAGCTTTTGGCTCTTGCTAAAGAAAGGTTTATTGCACACCTTACCTCATTCTAATACCTCAACAAACTATAAACTACACCGTCACCAATAATGTGCTTACGTGTATTCACATCTCTCCAGCACAGGTGAACGTCTTTAGATGGCTTTTCATTTAAAAAATGTGAGTGTCTACTGCTTCATGGCACTGTTCAGAGTCTCAAAATGAGTCAAGATTTAGAAGGAAAGAGGACCTATCATTCAGGAACCTCTCTCTCTGTCTCTCTCGCTTTTGACAAGGCCCTGCTGTACTGCCCAGACTAGAGTGCAGTAGCATCATCACAGCTCACTGCAGCCTTGAACTCCTGAGCTCAGGTGATCCTCGTGCCTCAGCTTCCTGAGTAGCTGGAACTACTCAGTGCCCACCACCAGGCCTGGATGATTTTTCTATTTTTTGTAGAGACAAGGCCTCATTTTGTTGCTCAGGCTGGTCTTGAATTCTGGTCTTCAGCAATCCTCTTGCTCTAACCTTCCAAAATGCTAGAATTATGGGCGTGAGTGACCATGTATGGCCTAGTAGTGTAATTTCTATGAGATGTCTTTTTGATTCTCACAAGTTCACTAATTCCTGCCAGCTCGAAAATAAGATGATCTATGGTCATTCAGATAAATTGGATTAATGTTTTTGATAGATTCAACAATGGTGTGTGATCTGTCCCTGAAAATGGACCAATCCTTTGGCTGTGTTCCTTTGCTCAGATTGCTTTGGTTGCCTATCCTCAACAGCCTTGTGCTAAAAATGAAAATTCTAACAGTCTGGTTTGTACAAAGGCACGAGGTCTGTATCTCATAACAAATGCAAAGGAAAGGGAAAGAAAAGTACCAGCAACCAAGCTGCTACATTCAGATGACACAAGGGAATACTTTGCAGGCAATGAAATATCCTCGATTGTCCTAGGGTATCTAACAACTCGACACTGTCTGTGATTCATTCACCAAGTAAAAAAGAGTTACAAGGAATATGTATGAAATTATCTACTTTTCCTTTAAAAAAATAAAACAAAAAATTTAATGCTAATGTATAAAGCAGGATACACAACAAAAAATGTTAATAGTGGCAGTGCTAGGTGACGGAATGATCAGCAGTTTTTATTTTCTTCTTTGATTAAGTATTTCTTCCATAATGAATATATATTATTTTATTTAAGAAAAACAAAAGTTATAAAAAAAATTAAAATGTGTAAGCGGTCACCAAAAGCCATTACAAAAGTGCATATAAAATGTCTACGTGTCATCAGTACAAAATCAACCAGATTGCACTGAAAGACCAAAAGTGGGTTTACTATATTGTAAAGTTTAACATTCAACTGTTCCAGTCAAATATGTTCTAAGATCTGTTAGGATTTAGGTTAACAGCTTCCAAAAAAAAAAAAAAAATAAACAAAACTAAAAATAAATTTAGTGGAACATTTTAATTAGACAAGTGAGAAGATTTATAAAACCTTAACTTGCTCTCCTGGACGTTTTTCATTTTCCAAATACTGAATAGCTAGGCCAGAAAAAATGATGGCGCAATCTCTCTGTTAACTGGTCCCCAGCCAAATGGGAGTGGTATTAATTACTGGGAAGCCTTACTCATGTTATGAAAGCGGGATAAAAGCTTCCCAGGTATTCACTTCATGTACAATCTGCAGAGACGTGGGCCTCGTGTGTGGGCTCACACCTGACATGAAGCCACCTTCCAAGAGCCACAGCACAGGGAGATCACATGAGAATCTGGATCTTATAAGACTAAATCTTCCTAGAGAAGAGGGTCCTGATGATAAGGAACAAGACACCAACTCTATTATAGCTTAATTTAAGCTACAAAAAATTTCCCCTGACCTATCAGGACTATGCAATGATGTGGCTTGAGACCCAGAAACGTCATCGCAGGTGGCAGTAGGCAGACACGTGTAAAGTGACCTACAGCCCAACTGTAATTTCTACCACTGGCCTCCCTGCATAGGAGAAAAATGCCTGTGTTCCTGTTCTGTGTCAAGACGATATTACATAAAAGGAGAGAAAAGCCCTTACATTCTGTTTGCTTTTTGCTTTTATCTGTTTTATTTTGTTTTGTTTTTAACTCCCCTGAGGAAGCTCACACTGACAAAAACACGAACCCAGCAGAATCCACAGCGGTAGGGCTCCCCGGGCTGTGAAATGCAGCCTTTCCTCTAGAATAATCCCATGGACAGCAGTACAAACCAGGGGAGAGGAATGACACCTCGGTTATGCGATGACCTCTATGTCCTGCTTCCTCTTTCATAAGCTGCCAGTAGAAACTGATAACAGTGCTTTTTGCCCAAGATATATTTAAAATTTTTATCCAAAATATATTTTAATAGTTTTCCTTATTTTTCCATGTGGGTCAACATGCCTACAAATATTTAATTAAAAGGCCAGCTTGCTATGCTAGATACTCCTTTTTTTCAATCCAAATCATCAGATCAAACAGTATTTTGATAGATGTCATTTATTTTGTGTTTAGGTCATAAATCTGGTCCAGGCAAGGCCTGGGCAGAGGTGGAAACACCTGGACTATCCCTTTCTCTGGAAGACTTATTTTAAGTCACAAGCAGTTGGGGATCAAAAGCAGAACAATAAACAGGACTGAATATTCTGAGGGAATGTTAAATAATCTTCCCTTGAGAGGGAAGAAATTAAGGACTAGATCCGTAAAGGCTCTCGAGCTGACCAGGGGATGATTTAGGAAGGGAGACAGGAAGGAAGGAGAATGCAAAAGTGCGTCTGTTTCTTATGTAAGGACTTCTGGGGTAACTGTTTCCTCTCCTCCTTCTCAGCTACTTTGTCTCACACCCTGTGTTCCCGGCTCAGGCCTCAGGAGGAGGCATTTCAGCTGTGCCTGGTCCCATTTGCCTTTTCTAGCACCAGCCCCAATCCCATCCTTCCATCCCACACCTTCTCCACCCTCTGAACCTGTGCTCCGCGGTTTATACCTCTGCTGCTTTTCCCTCCCAGTCTGAATCGGTAAATCAATAAGCTTAGTTTTAATTGGCAGTATTTGCCTTTCTTCTCCCTAGCACTAGACGTAGTTTTCTTTGTTCTGATGGAAGATTCCCAACTCACTACAGAAAAGATCTGTTAGATTTTGTAGGAGCAGTAATGAAATCATGACTAGAAGGAGAAAATACTGATCACCAGCTCTTCTTTTTAATAACTACCTGCACAGGCAGCAGTTTGGGGGGTTTGTTTCTGTTTTACTAGGCACAGCTTTTGACAGGGTTCCACGAAGAATTACCGTAGCCTCCTAAGATGAATGCTTTGCTCAAACACTGGGAGAATCTGACTTGATAATAAGAACTACTACATGTGTTCCATTTCAGTATTTTCTGTTACCACTATTTATTAATATGCTGTGGGGGGATGTTTATGGCTGAGCTCATAGCAGTGTTCCTCCATAAAGCAATTATAATCACGTTTATTATTTAAAATTCATTCTCTAGCTTGAACCAGAATAGCCACACAATGTAAATTATTCAAAATGGATTGTATCTCTGCTAGCAGATGGAAGTGAGCTCTCGTCTTGTAACACTTTGATAGAGGAATCCATTCAGCAGAGATGACACCTCTGACACAAGGAGATGCACCCGGGACCCTTGCCTGCAGGAGGGGGTGTGGGTACTGTGGGGCCACGGGAGGGGGTGTGGGTACCTGTGGAGCCACGGGAGGGGGTGTGGGTACCTGTGGAGCCA